GCTTTCAAGTGCTTGAGGTACAGTTTCCCCCAAACCCCTGCACCAATCTTCTTGAAACTTGGCAGGCTTTGTGGCCTCACCAGAGGCTACCATCCCTGCAGTTTTCACCCCCCTATGCTGTAACGCCTAGACATGACATGAGTTTTTCTTTCAAGAATATGAGTTTCAGTTCCCCCAAAACCCCTACACTGATCTTCTTGAAACTTGGCTTCATGCTCCCTGCAGAGTCTACCACCCCTGAAAATTTCATCTGAATTGGATAAAAAACAACAACGTTATAGATATTTTATTATTTCCCCATTATACCCTATGGCCAGATCTATGAGGTGGCTCCAAAGTGCTTTGGAAGCTCTGAACCACTTCAGGAAGCTTAATGAGGCCAGCGCCTCGATCTGGACATGGTGCTTTGGATGCCAAAGCGTCCAAAGCTTCTCCGGATCTGAAGCTCTATCCAAAGACTTGCACAGCCCTAATGTCACCCACACATCTCACAGGGCAAATTACTCTTACTTTTGGCAGGCAGATAGGAGCATGTGTGGAAGAACTCTGCACAGCAGGCAGATAAATAGGGCATTTCCAGAAAGTGGTTTCCAGTATATTTTGGAAAGCTGTTTCCTTAGCAGATCAAGACTTTACTGCTTGTTCTCATCAAGTTTCATCCTCGTTAGGCATTCTACATTAGTACTAGGTATGTGTTTGGCAGAAGCGTGTGTCTACAAACAAACTGACCAGCTAACACAGAACTACTAAAATCAAGGTAGTGCAGTGGTGCTCAACCTGTAGCCCATGGAGCAGATCTGGCCCGCAAAGCCATGCCATCTGGCCTGTGCAACTCCCCACAGATCCTAAAACTGAGCAGCAGGGGGAATGGTGGCAGGATCCCACTTGTAGCAGTGGGGGAGCAGTGACAGTGTTAATTGCCATAGCTCTCAGAACCATGTTAAGTAATGCTGCCATAGCTCCCCTGCTGCTAAATTTGAGATTCCATGGGGAATCCCGTGGGCTGAATGACATGGCTCCACACACTGCATCTGGGGCTGGTGCAGGGATAAAGATGGCATGCAGAATCAGGTTGGCATTGTGGTCAGATTCACCGCACAGGGCTGGGCTGGCATACTAGGTCACACCCATGCACCTGTGCTGACTCTGTGCTAGATCTGACCCACAGGCCAACCATATGAGCCAGATTTAACACACAGACTAACCCCACACCACTCATCCAGCCTGCAGGGCCAGAAGGTTGAGCACCACAGTGATGCACTGCAACCTGCAGTAGAGTTATACACAGTACATCTACAAATGGGATTTCCAAGGCATGTCAACTGTGCCATATATCGCCCTGAACTTTCATGTTCAATGTAGAATTCTTCAAAGAATCTGTCTCAAAGCATATATTACAAAAGAATTATTTGTTTTTCATGAAATAATGTTGTGTGTAAGCATTATGTTTTGGGTACTTAAGAAAATGAATACTATCTTTAGCATAAAAATGTACTCACAGAAATAGCCCTCCCACCAGAGTCAACATAGTCTATAAAGCCTACAGTTTGTTAGCTATATTTTTATGATTCTGTTCAACAACTAATTCATAACACCCATGAGACAGAAAAACAGTTCTATTTTTAGTTTACCAGAAAAATGGGATTAACATACCGATAGAGAAGACTTTTCTTCAATCATTGCTTTTACAAAAGCTAAAGCTTCTGAAGTAGCAGACCTAATATTGTCAACTCTCCCCTCTTCAAATCGCCTTATAGAAGCACTTTCATAGGTGGGAACAAGTCTCCCGTGGCATCTGAGAAAATGAAATAAGAAAACCAAGGAATCATTGTTTTCAGAGAATCATAAAGGCAAAATGATATAGAGGCTCAGTAGGTTTTATTTTTACAACCTTGATTTTATTTTTATGTAGTATTTCATTTTAATGATAATATAATTCTATACGAAAATTTCAAAAAAGATGGATGGTAGCTCCCTTCTAATACAATGAGCTGTAAGCAGTTGGGTATATTTTAGTTATATAGTGCTAGTAAAAGAAATATTTGTTTGTGCAAAAACAAAGCTAGTGAAACTAGAATTTACTGAAAGATATGAACAGCTGTTTTATTGGCATGGCACAATAAAATAATTCTGTGATTAATCATTTACTTACAGGACTAGCACATGTTTTATTGAAACAAGAAAGTATGCATGGCATGGAGCATGTGTGTGTATGTGTCTGACAGAAATTAAAATGGGAGAAGAATGCCATTTCATATTTAGATTCAAAGGTGAAAACAGAAGTGTTACTATGTATTTCTACTCTTCTGCCTTTGCAACTAGGTGTCTAACTGCTGTGCTCCACTGAAGGAATTTTACAAATCACTTTGACTTATTCAGACTGCAATTGAATCAGGGCTCCTGGTTACAGCACAATTGTCCTGGAACCGTAACCAAACTCAAACCTAGAAACTCCACTGAGATTTTAGCTACAAACAAGTTTGACACCTGCTGACTATGATAAGGTGGAAGACCATTCCAGGATTTAATTAGATGAGACTGGGAATTGTTGGTATAATGACCCGTACTGCAAAAAACCACACAACTGGTTTAGGCTGGAATTTTAATTGACCTAATAAGCTATGAATAATGAAGGCTTTAACAGTGGGAAAAGCCCTGGGTAACTCTTAATTTCAAAGCTTACAGTGTCCAGGAAAAGTCCAAGACCAGTTTGTCAGATGTACCATCCATAATGCTCTGCAGGAATACTACGTACTGTTGAGATACTTTGATAAAATCACAGTTGCTGTCTATTGGTGGAGAGGTGAGAGCATTGTGAGGGGATGTCCAGATCCTTGTGGGTCTGTGGCAGAGTTTCCTTCCAGAGTGCTGGCTGACAACATGGACAAGTGCTTGCTGAAACCCTCTTAATTGGTGGCTTCAGAATCGTTCTCTTGACACCTTAGAGTATCATGAATGAGGTGAGAGCCCATCATTCCCTTCACATACAGTGATGGTGAAGGTACAGGTGTTGGGGTATGGAAGAGAGAGGCAGGCAAAATGAAAGGGAGATTGAAAGGGGGTGAGACCAGAAAATGGAGTGTGAGTGGTAGAATCATGAATGTGGGCTGTTGGGTGAATTAGGAGGGAGGGAGTTGTAGAAAAAGATAAGGCAGATGATGGAAGGGAGAGAGATTGTGTACATGGGTTGTATGTTTTGCTCAGACAGTCACTGATTTCACACACATACAAAGAAATTAGAAACCATACTAGTGTAAACTGCATAAATTCCTTGGACCCAGCCTATATATGAAGAGAAGCGGCAGACTGGATCAGAATAATTTGTGTATGTGTTAGCATCTGCAGCTTGACTGTATCCATTTAGATGCCAGTATTCTTTCCCCAGGACTTTCCTTAAACTAAACCTTCTGCTCAGTCATACTCTTACTCAGTTAAAACTTTCATTTGTGTCCTCTAATTATGCGTAATTATGAGTGAGGCACAGAACTGGGTCTCATTTCATGACACTGTGCTGAATTTGAGTTATAACTTGGATTATAATAGAAAAATTAGATATGCAATTTTTATCGTCTTTATCTGCTACAAGAACTTGCTTCTCTTCAGGTTTTTTAATGTGTTGTAGCTTTATGATTACTACCAGAATATATGTATCGCTTACTCTTCTGGTTAATACAAATGTTTTCATTTCAGTTGAGAAACAAACATTCCAAATAAGTGGGATGCTACTTGTCAAAACAAAGTGGCTTCTACTGTGGGTTAAGACAGGATGGATTTCTATCCTGATTTTCAAGGGTCCAGATATGCAGCCTTGAGGCAGCCATAACTTGCTTTCATGCTAAAGAAAGAGTGTTTATGTGCACAGTGTAGGATTGGGCCTTTTGGACAACTGAGTTATTGCAGATTTGTTCTTGTGGTAATTTATTCCTATTAAGTAAATTAACATACCTGTAAAAGGCTAGCTGAAGTGCTACTTGAATGTAGGCATCTGGGCTAATCTTTTGTTTCTTGATAAACTCTTTTCCATAGTATTCAAAGTTATAAGCAATAAAATCTAGATTCTTTACTATCCTAAAAAAAAAATGTTGCTTTATTGCAGCAGAAGTTTATGAGATACAATTTTAGAGAACCTTTAGAAAACATTTTTGTATTTCAAAGTTTGCAATGTTTAAATAATGGCTAGACTATCAAATGCACACCATAACTTATTATGGACTTTCATTTTAAAGAAATGGCACCTTTTGTTTATTTAGAAATAAAACTAGTCCTTTGGTATCTGGAATGGTTTAATACCTGACACATATATGTTAGTACCATCTAATGTGATTGCATGGGCAAAAACATAAATTTGACTATCTGCATGTCTATATTCATTTTCTAGTGAAAGTCAGAAAATAGGTTGAATCTTAAAAACCACCATTTAATCTTGTTGTAGAATTCAGGTGTAGTCCTGAAAATCCCCCCCAGAAGAGCTAGCATGGGTACATGCAAATTACATTCTTTAATTTAAATTGTCTAATCAAGCCAGTTGTTTACCACTTTCTTATATACATTCCCCCACTTTTCTCATGCAGCTTTAAAAACAGAGGCCACTGTTTGCAATCTATGCAAATAATAACTGCCTTACTAGATTTATTTCCTGTGATATTTGTTGTTACTATATCTATATCTATATATCTGTCTCTATATAGGCTACCAATCCTGGTAAATGTTGAGCATCTTCAGTTTGTGTGGGAATTGAGGGTAATCAGTACTACTTTGGATTAGGTGCTGAAACGCATTACTAGTCCTAAGGCTCCACACTTGCAACAGTGGGTCATTAAAGCCATTGAAATTTGCAATACCTTTGAAGTTTTTCTGCTGCTGAAGCTATGTGTCCCTGAACTTCTGGAGAACATTTCCATCTTAATCGCCGTGGAGCAGGAAGCTCACTCACAGAATCAGCTCTGATTAACTTCTTACAGCTTTCCTTCCTGCAGATATGTGACAGAATATACATTAACAACCTGTGTGACAACCTGCCTGTTATGAAAGGTGCTCTTAGCATGTTCTTGGTAAATAATTACTTCTTATCCTGTCAGAGAAAAATCAGAGTGATCTCTCTTTGTTTTGCAGGGTCAGATATACAAATTCAGTAGGCCCAATTCTGATATTATAGTAGTATAAATCAAGAGTAATCCCAAAGAAACCAGTTTGGGTGTTTTCAAAATCTGTGATCTTAATTTGGGTTACTCGCTCCAGCCAAAACCTGGTAATTTGAAGGGCAAAAACTCCCATTGATATCAAGGCAACTAGAATTTGGTTCATTAAAAAGAAGTGAAAGAAAAGAAATGCTCTGAATTATAATCTGCATTTCCAGTTGTTATGAACCATAGTGAAGCATGCATAGCCACTGTATGGAGATGGTACTTCAATATTGGTTTGCAAATGGAGGTGAAGTGCACCTTGGCCTTCATCGGTTCTCATGCACAGGGCTGGTTTTTACCGAGTGGGAATTCCAGGATATTTGGAGGAGCTTCTAATTCCTTTTTCTTTTGGGTACCTGAATTTCTTTCAAACATTCAGAAGGCCAAATAAAGGTTTATGAGTGAAAATATATCTGGATCCTTTCTTGTTGTGGTAATAATGAGGGAGGACTCACATGTGCTTGAGCAAATGTTCGGTGCATTGTACCAGGACGATCCCATCAAAAGGAGAGTGTTCGCACACAGTACCACACACTCCATCTCTTCCCACTACAAACTGATGAGGGTAATACCATTACATATATGACATGAATAGGATCATTTAGTGATACAAACAAAGCAATATACACTGGCAACATAATGACAGGGATTGTTTTGCCCTGTTTTGTTATTGGAACGCATCTGGAACCTGCTGTCATCTAGAGGTCTACTAGAATCAGTGTGTTGGGAAAACTTCAGGTTACACTGAAAGACATGGCTTTCAGTCATTATATTGTTTTGGAATAAGTCTTGGAAAGTTCTTGAAATTAGCAACTTTTATTGATCTCAGTGGAAAATGGAATTAGCTCTTGCCCTCATGACAGAGTAAATCATCTCCTAAAGAGGAGGAAAATGGCCCTCATTTCTCAGTTTCTGGACATGCCCCCAGGCATGTTTGTGCTACAAAAGCCCCTTTATGGTCTTATTTTACTGTTGGTATTCATTTGTATCACACCACTCAGTGGGCTTTTAATTGGTATCTCTATCCTCTTTCCTTCAGCTCCTTTCTCATATTACTTTTCTCTTTTCTATATGTTATATTCTCCATCCCCTTTTATTCTAAATTTTAATCTCATACAGATTGACATAACGGGATATGATTAGCCTGCTGCTCTTCATCTTTACTTTATATTCTCTTTGCAGTCAACCAACAACAGACACTTTACACCAAACTGATTTTCCCACCAATTGTTGGTTGCCCTTTTGAGGAACATATTTTGTTTGGACATCTTTCAACCTGTTCATGCAGTACATTTCTGTTTTGTAAAAAATATCTAACCAAACACAAATAACTTTTTATTAAATCAAATATGAATGTCTACATAAGCTACTTAATTTCTAATGGTTACTATCCCGTTTTGAAAGAAGACAGATCGTATGTGATAAAAAGTCAATATACGAATATAAGGGCATTTAAAATTTATTGATGCCTCATTGAAAAACTTATAAAAATTTAGAAAAAAGTCCTATTGTGTGAAAGGCTTTCTATACTTTGTACATTTTCAGGAATTAAAATAGTATCTGTGTTTCTTAGGGTTTCCTCTGTGCCTGTTGTTTATTCCTTACATTAAATAAATTCAGCTCTCCGTTTTACTCTCAGTTTTTATTAGTGAATTTGATGATGTTAATGGGGGCAAAATCAAGTCATTATCCTTCATTTATGACATTAATTAGTGGCTGTGGAAGCAACAAGGGACTATGATCAGAAAGGAGATGACTCATTATTAAAAGAGTGTGTCTGCTGCTGATCCCATTTCTACTGGCCCAAATCAGGAATGACTACTGAAATAGAATTACACTAGTCTAAAACTGGTTTGAGTAAAATCAGAATAATGTGCCCTGTTTTAATGTAAATACCTTTAGCATTTTAAGGAAAGAGCAACAGGCATCACAAACATGAAATGGTGTACTACAAAGTTATATAATTATTATAATGGCATAAAACTATGCTATTTTTCCTGGAGTTTTTCATGAGACATCAGCAGTTCTATCAGCCTGATAAGTATGTGATACATGACTGCACAGTGGATCCTATCACAAAATGTACAAATAATAGTGTGATGTTTTAAAATATGACAGTCAAACCATGGTGGTGAAAAAGATTTGAAAAATCCACACTTCCAAGAAGAACTCCCAAAATGTCATTTTATAAATAAATGATCCATAACTGAAGGCTCAATACCTGGTTTAGTAAAAAAAAAAAAAGCTATACTATACTGTTACTGTTTTTATACGCCAGAAAAATTGTGTAAGATGAGGAAAAGTTGGATGTTCATTTTCTTTTCAGGTTCCTAATTTAACCTTTTTCTTTCATTTGGTCTGGTATAAATGTATTTCTGCATGCTGGACTCTGAAGGAGATGCATATTTTTTCAGGTGCCTGGCTAAATGGTAACTTAACGAATTATAAAACTGCATGTGTTAGAAATGATAAAGAATGTACTCCGACACCTACACCTTTCATTCCCCAGGGAGATCAACAATCTTGCTTTCTTGTTGGTATGGAGTCATTCTAAGTTTCAAAACCAGTTCTTCCCAGCGTTTTCCTTAATACGGTACTACTTCCAGTCTGTTAATTTCTGGTATGAGTATCCTGCCTTTACTAGTGGTCTATGCCTAAAACTCCAAAGGAAATGAAAGCCCTCTTTAAAGTGCACTGCTCAAAGATGGAATGTCCATCATCTTAACTCCTGTGATGATCACCCTGATATGTGGGGCTTGAGTCTTTAACATGCATAATAGTAAGTATGTGTTAGCGTGCAGCAAGGACTTACCTGCATGGGTTTGTCATACCAGCGATTGGCACCATTTTTATCATCGCCTCCGCCATGTAGGAGTTGCAAAGCCATGTTTGTGTCATTGATTTCCATCCCACTTGGGCTGTCCAGGCATACCAGGCACATACAGCGTTCAATCATGTCAAGAGAATCTCGATTGGTAGAGTCTGTGGATACAACATTAAAATGTTTACAACTCTGTACTACTGTAGCTGGAGGGCTGCACAGTGCAATCACAGATATCAGATGCAGGACATTTTCTTCCCCTAGGAATTCAGTCTCTTGTGCTTATTTTGCCAAATAACTTACAGTAGTATCAACCTCCAAAAATTATCCACCCTGAAAATGGGGTCCATTTCATTACATTGTGGGTTTTTTATCATATTATTTTTTGCATAGTGTAGATATATCAGTTAATTTTACTCCCATCACATTAGGAAATATTTGAACACAGTGTGCTTATATTGGTTTGTTTGTGTTTTTTTAAATTGGGCTGTGACCTTTTACCTTCTTTATAATGCATAAATACAGGAATGAGTTATTTCACATTTTATCAGGTTTTAACTTGGAAGTAATAGGAACGTAGAGGCTTGCCTTCTTTGGAAAGCTTGTTTGAGGTACAGGATATTTATTTTGATCTCTTAAGCCCTGAATAGCTGGTTTAAAGGTATAGAATCTTTAACAAGACTATTTGCATTTGAAGTCATGTTATTCATTAATTGATATTAAATTACTGTTAACACAATCAAACAACCCCTCCAAAAATTTCAGATAATGACTGCAACTTCCATTTCCTTGTAAGAGCTCAGCTCTCACTCTTGCTTCATGCAATGCTACTGGTAGAGCTGAACAATATTTTTTGTCACATATGTGGTTCACTGAAAAACGCAGATTAGGTTTACCAAAACTTCTGCAAATCCCTGCTGTTTTTGCCAAATAGTTATGGCTGAAAAAACTTATCAAAAAGGAAAACATCAGCTACTCAATAGAAACAGTAAAACATTTCTGGTTTTAATTTTGAAGTTATATTTCATTTCAAAATTCACTAATATTTAATTTTATAAATCTAAAGAAAACAACAAGCAACAGCAAAACACATTACAAATACCATTTTTCTGCTAAATTTTTGTTTCATCAGGAAAACCAGAACCATTTCTGTTTGAGAACACATTAATCACGTATTTGCACAGCGCTAGTTATGCTACTTTTGTGCTAGCTCTCCAGTCAGCATGTAGTGAAGAGGAAGAAGGCTATCCAAAAAGACCAGGAAGAAAATGGAGGCCAAGAAATATTTTGGGATATTGAATGAGGAGGTGCTTCATTGGCCCATTCCACAGGGCAGCTCCAACAAGAAACAGCTGGAATCCATTGGCTGAAACTACCAAATAGTCTTGTGCACTCTTTGCTTGTCCTGGTTAGCTATTACTCTCAAGAGTAATCTCGCTGGTTTTAGTTACCTACAGGTAGCTTTAGGAAAAGACCCAAGGCTTGCCAATATCAACAAGTTGTTTAAAATCTGGACCTTCAAATCCGTGTAAGTTCCTAAAGAGACTTTAGTTGAGTAGTGGTAAGTGATGGTATGTATACGTAAAATGCATGTTAGGAACCCATTTCTATATCTTAATTTTCAAGCCAGGTCTTCTGTTAAATTTAATTCCTCGGTAAAATGTATGGCACACAGTAAACACTGAGGTCTTGGTTGCTGTTAGTTGTCTCTTAAAAGCATCATGACATTTTTTAAATAAGAATAGATCTTGCTGCTGTGTTTTGAGTGATAAATCTCTTCTTTCCCCACTGTGCATCATTCTGAGTTATGTCAGAAGACCCTGTATTGTACTGCTTTGTGTGCAGTATTAAGTGCACTAGGATCTTTCAAGAAGGAGGTGCTACATAAATGTCTGATGTTATTTTTGTATACAGAAGCCACCTAGTACTTTAGAAGCAAAAACTGGCTGAAGAATTAATTACAAAATTGCCTTCCATGTTTTCTTACAGTTCAGTGTTTTGCTTATGTGACCTGACAGGCATATATATTTCAGCATGGCTGCTGCCTACCCACCATCACCTAATATTCAACTTTTACTCTGACATATGGATTCAGGGTTCCTATTGCTTAGGTTTAGATGAAGTAAAATGAGGCTCCTATGTTAGAAAAGGAGAAGCAATGGGAAACTGTCCTTGCAAATGAACCAGAACACGTCCAGAGAGGCAATCAGTCAAACACTGACAAGTTTATCATGTAAAGCAGAAAATGAACTGAAAAGAAATTGTGTACTGAGACTAGGGAAGGAAAATATTTCAGGAAGTAATGAAAATAAAGGACTAGCAGAGGAAAACAAGAACAATTTATCTTGTTACCCCCTTACCAAATATGCTGGTTTACATTTAATATAGGAAGTCAAACTTCTTAAAAAGCCTTTTTTAAAAGGAAAAGGTAGGAAGGGAGTGATGGACCAAACTTAGATAATGTGCATGTGAGGCTTCAGCAGAGTTATACTTGCTTACACCAGATCTCAGTTTGGATTTATGCATCTGATTAGATCTGCAATATGAACTCACAATTAATTACTGTATAGGGAGGGAGATGACTGGTATCAAAAGTTCTCCTTATGTCCTTCACTGATATAGAAGCAATTTTTCTGCTCTAAATTATTCTGATATTTGTGTGAGGTCATATAATGGAAAGCAATTCATTTGAAAATAGGGGTATTAATGGTGTTTTCAGAGATGATCTTAGTAAATATTCAGGAAATGGCAGAATGAGCTTCAGCAGTTCTCCCTTGCTTTTCTTCCTTTCCAATGGAATGACCCTAATATAGCCAACTCTTGTGACTTTAACTCTAAGTTTTACAATATTTACTGTTTTACTTAAAGCTCAAGTTATGCAAAAGGATGAGAAGGTAACATTCATTAAAATGAAAATATTTCTGCCATCATAAGGGCAGAAAAAAGATCGAGATCATGTTGTTGATGTATCCTGGAGGCTTAGGCACCAAAGGCAAGAAGGATTTTATATTCCAAATCTCATGATTTTAAGACCATCTTGTCATTTCTTAAGGTTTGTTTATGAATTCTAAGTTGTTGGGATTGGCAGTCTTCCTGCACTGTCTTCTAGAAACTCAGACCAATAGAAAAATAGGTTCAGCTATATCAGCTCTTCATGCAAATGTTAATGCCAATTTAGCTGAATGGGGGTTTCTTTCCTCTTGTTGCTTAAATTTGCCAATTTGATAGTTACGTTTTTTTGATTGGCGTGTTTCTTCAATTCTTTTCTCTTCAACCATTGATGTAACTGCAGTTCTAAAAGGAGCAATAAAACTAGGACGTGTCTGAAATGAGTCCTGAAAAAAATTTGAATGCTGCTATATCTGAAGCAGTATCATTATTCATCTGGTTAAAAAAAATTTCTGAGTCTAGCATATTGATAAAAATATGCTTTGATTTTTTTGTTTTGTTTTGTTTTGTTTTTTGTAATATTGAGATCTATGAAATTGACCCATTCAGATTTAGTAATATTTTTTTTAGATTTTTTTTTTAACCTCAGTGTCACTGGTAATGGTTTGGCATTGGTTAATGGCACAGTGTCATGGGAAAGAAAATGTTGACAATTTTTATGTTGGATGTGACCTGTTGAATTCACTTTTCAGTACTGTGTATCCTTCATAAATTATAATCAAAGGACAGTTTGGGAAGTGATTAGGAAGAAATACATTTGGATGAAACAATATAATTTGCTTAAGTTGCAATGTAAAATGGGTATGCCTTTCTAGCATAGATTCATATTATATTGTAAGCAGAGACTCTGGAGGAGAACATTTGCAAACCAGAAAGGAAAAAAAAAACAGATGTGGAAGAAACTATGAACAATCAAACAAAAGGAGGTGGCATTCCAAAGGAAATACTTTGTTTCTGTCAGAGGTTGTAGTTATATGTAAAAATGTTCACTATTTGTTGTATGCAATGGGGCATAACTCTTGTGTTCAGCAGGCTGAGTGTTTGCATGGATTTCAGTGATCTGTAGAATGGGAAACAAAATATGAAAAGCTGAGTATTTGATTAGAGTAATTCTGCATTTAATTGAGAGTAATTAACTGTCCTCTCAGTGAGATTCAGGTACCTATATTTCCTTCTTTCCAGTGTCTTATTAGATACCATAGAACTATCTATAAATTTTAAACATATAGGGTGCTTCTACACACTGTCCTATGGTGATGTTATTACTGCACCATGCTTTAGTACTTTCTTTTGGACGTACTAAAGCACAGCACAATAACCACCCATGCTGCACCATGTGTGTGGCACAGTTATTTTTAGCAGCTAATTCGCTGTACTGGTGTACTATAATGAAGGAACGCTGCTATGGCAAAGTAGCTGCTGGTTACATGTAGACACCCATAGACACTATGTCACCATAGCACAGCTTTGTGACAACATAGTGTTATGTGTAGACATACCCATATAGAAGGAAACAGAGCCTAGAATTTTAGTGAACTTTAAGCAGGGAGTATTTTTTTAAATAATTCTGAAATGAGGTTGGCTGCTCCAAAATACAAGTAGTAATTTATAGATAAGATTTATTTCCATATTGTATCTATAGAATTCCATACATTTTGAATACCAAAAATACTGTAGTATCTTGAACTACATGATATATTTTCCTTCAGTGAAACCTATGGCAGCACTAATTCAACAACTGACAGTAAAATTCAACATGGAAAAGTAAAAGAGGTGGTTTTGACTTCTGAGGACAGATTCTAAGACACATACTTTTTGTCTTTGAGGGCATGACATGGACTAACACTTGCATGCATCACTAGATGGCTTTACCTGTGAAAATCCTGTTTGCCCAAATGGGTTTGCATCTCTGTTCCAATTCCTCCACATGCAGATGCTGCAATCTATCACCTGAACATGCAGGTGAAAACACTTGAAAAAGTTTGCAAGAATAAAATTGCATGCCCAGGCACAGAGGCTGATTTTTTTTTTTTTTTTTT